TCTGCTGGTTCACTTCCCAAGTGGCCCTAACAGCAGGGCTTAGCCAGACAAAAAAACAGGAGCCAGGAGTTTCTTCTGGGTTTCCCATGTGGGTGGCAGTGCTTGGGCCATCTTCTGCTGCTTTTCCCAGGCTATTAGCAGGGAACTAGATCATAAGTAGAGCAGCTGAGACTCAAACTGGTACCCATATGGGATGCCAGCATTGTAGGCAACAGCTTTACCCACTACGCCACAACATTGGCCCTGGATTTTAGATTTTTAGAGGATTCCTCCCACTCCCCATACCCAAGACCAGGGCAGATACAACACCTTAACACTTTCTAGTGACAAAGGAAATATTTTTTCTAGACTTCCTTCAAGAGTCCCTTTATACTGGCTTTATACTGGACTCTGGGTTCCAACTTTCTACTTACAGGGACTCTAGGCCTCCTTTCCAGCACTGAAGTAGCAATGAAAATATAAGCCCTTATTGGGGCCGGCACTGTGGCCCAGCAGGTTAACACCCTGGCCTGAAGCGCCTGCATCCTATATGGGTGCTGGTTCTAGTCCCGGCTGCTTCTCTTCCGATCCAGCTCTCTGCTGTGGCCTGGGAAAGCAGTGGAAGATGCTCCAAGTCCTTGGGCCCCTGCACCCACGTGGAAGACCCAGAAGAAGCTCTTGGCTCCTGGCTTCAGATTGGTGCAGTCTAGCCGTTGCAGCCAGTTGGAGAGTAAACCATCAGATGGAAGACCTGTCTCTCTCTGCCTCTCTTCTCTCTGTGTAACTCTCTGACTTTTGAATAAATAGATTTTTTTTTTTTTGACAGGCAGAGTGGACAGTGAGAGAGAGAGACAGAGAGAAAGGTCTTCCAGTGCCGTTGGTTCACCCTCCAATGGCCGCTGCGGCCAGCGCACCATGCTGATCCGAAGGCAGGAGCCAGGTGCTTCTCCTGGTCTCCCATGGGGTGCAGGACCCAAGCACTTGGGCCATCCTCCACTGTACTCCTGGGCCACAGCAGAGAGCTGGCCTGAAAGAGGGGCAACCAGGACAGAATCCGGCGCCCCAACCAGGACTAGAACCGTTGTGCCAGCGCCGCAAGGCAGAGGATTAGCCTAGTGGTGCCGGCTTATGTTTATTTTTTAAATAATAAAGTGGCGCCGGCCGAATAAGTAGAATTGGATCAGTGCGGTGTGCCGGCCGCGGCGGCCATTGGAGGGTGAACCAACGGCAAAGGAATACCTTCTCTCTCTCTCTCTCTCACTGTCCACTCTGCCTGTCAAAAAAAAAAAAAAAAAAAAAAAAAAAAAAAAAGGATATATACTATGTATACTATCTTTTCTCTAGACTCTTGGATTTTGAAGTGTGAGTGTTTTCAAATTCTTAACCTAGGGAGATTTTTCCACCTAGAGGACATTAGCAATGTCTAGAGACAAAACTAGAGTCCCCAACCACAATGAATTATTTTATCCAAAATGGCAACAGCATCAAGATTGAAAAACTCTAACCTAGATCACATTTGACCATTACAACTATCGTAGAAATGCTGGCTTTGGCTCTGGCGTTTCACAAGGACATAGTATAGTCTAGGTATCAACAGAAAGCATCTTGCCTGAAAATTTACTCTAGAATTCCCCAAATGAGACATCTTCCAAAATAATATATGTAAAAAAGAATACAGCATATTTACATATCTTTTAAAAAATTTATTTGGAAGGCAGATTACATAGTAGGGGAGACAGAGAGAGAGAGAGAGAGATCTTCCATTCATTACTTCGCTCCCCAGATGGCTGCAATGGAAGCCAGGAGCCTCATCCGGGTCTCCCACATATGTGGTAAGGGCCCAAGCACTTGGGCCATCTTCCACTGGTTTCCCTGGTGCATTAGCAGGGAACTGGTTTGGAAGCTGAGGAGCCAGCCCTCCAACTGGTGCCTGTATGGGATGCCGGTGTTGCAGGCAGTGGCTTTACCCATTATGCCACAGTGCCAGCCCCTCATGTATCTTTTTCTTTTACATCTTTACAGTGCTAACAAACTGCTGTTAGAATTAAGATGTCAAAATTAATCACCAGATAAATCAAAGAAGTTTATAGCTCAAATGAAGAGCATTTAAGATTATCATTTAACAATGAGAAGTTTACATACCTAATGCATATATTTGACTGATTATAACTTCACATTCTGATCAAATATTCACCAATAAATTATTTGCTCTAGCTAGGCAACGTGTCAGGCTGGACACCCTTGCTGAAACTTAAGGACACCATCCTGTGCAACATATCCCACTGAGAGTGTTGCTTCAATTTTTTTCACTCTCTAGAACTGCTTGGGGCTGGCACTGTGGTACAACAGGTAAAGCTGCCACCAGCAACATTGGCATCCCATATAGGTACCAGTTTGAGTTCTGGTTGATCCACTTCTGATCCAGCTCCCTACTAATGACCTGGAAAAAGTAGCAGAGGATGGCCCAGATGCTTAGGTCCCTGCCACCCACGTCCGAGACGTGGAAGCTCCAAGCTCCTGGCTTTGGCTTGGCCTACCCCAGGCTATTGCAGCCATCTAGGGAGTAAATCAGTGGATGGAAGATCTCTGTATCTTTCCTTCTTTCTTTAACTCTGACTTTCAAATAAAAATAAATAAATCCAAAAAAAAAAAAAAAAAAGAACTGCTTGATATGCTTTTGCCACAAAACTAATGGGAGGGCATTTATGGTTTTAATACACTGCATTTCAAGATGAAATAAGGCAGGAATTGAGCTTCAAGCTGTGGAAAAAACTACTGATATTATTATTATTACTATTCAATAATAAGGCATATAACAAGGTACAGAGAATAACGTAATGGATACCCATTTCTTATCAAACGGGTTAAGAAATAGAGCATTACAGATACGGTGGACAACCTTGTGGAACTCTCATTTCCTTCCCTCCCCAGAGGTAAGCACCCTTCTGAATAAGGGGTTTATCACCTTCATGCTTGTTTTTAATTTTCCATTACCTATGCAACCTATAAACAATCTATGGTATTGTTAGGCTTGTTTTCAGACTTACAAAAATGGTATCAAACACCCTTCTTCGCCGGCGCCGCGGCTCACTAGACTAATCCTCCGCCATGTGGCGCCGGCACACCGGGTTCTAGTCCCAGTCGGGGCGCTGGATTCTGTCCTGGTTGCCCCTCTTCCAGGCCAGCTCTCTGCTGTGGCCAGGGAGTGCAGTGGAGGATGGCCCAAGTCCTTGGGTCCTGCACCCCATGGGAGACCAGAAGGACCTGGCTCCTGCCATTGGATCAGCGCGGTGTGCCGGCCGCGGCGGCCATTGGAGGGTGAACCAACGGCAAAGGAATACCTTCTCTCTCTCTCTCTCTCTCACTGTCTACTCTGCCTGTCAAAAAAAAAAAAAAAAACAAAACCACCCTTCTTCGACTTGCTTTTTCTAATTGACAATTTCCTGCATTTAATAGCCACAGGACTCAAGAGAAGATGGGTCAAATGGAAGTGCTGAATACATTCAGTTTCTCTGTTGCTACAGAGAAACTCACCTGGTTGGGTTGAATGCCCCCAGCTGCTCCTGTCTAGAGTGGCTGTGTGCTGTTTCCTACTGCACACCAGCGACACCGGTCACTAAGACTCACACTCTCACACCCAGAGACAGGAGCGGCCCTAAAATACCCACAAGCCCCAGCTCCACCACCAGAAGCCCGCTGTTCTGGGGGGTGTCCCTCAGGCCTCTCTGAAGCGGAATATGAGTAGTGAATTCGCCGCAACTGCTTTGACACAGACTTCACTGTGCTCACCTAATGGCTTTTCCAAGAAACCGTAACAGCAGAAACAGAAACCAGATTTGACCAGTCTGTTCAGATATAAAGCGTGACCAGTCTGCTAGAATCCACCACTGGTAAGAAGAGAGCTTTTATTGACTGAGAGAGTGAGTGAGTGAAAATACAGCCCAGGTGTTTCTCTCCCTTCCGTTCCGGAAGGTAAGCAGTGATTGGGTGGGGGGCTAAGGTCCAAACATGAACTGGGCTTTAATAGTTCTTCCAAGGATTCAGAGGTTGCCTCAGAGTGATGCATCAGGCAGATTTAGATCAGGACGGCCCCTGGGGGAGGCAGCTGACACCGCTCCTGCTCTGGTTTCGGCTCCACAGTCACGCCGATGACATTTTACAACAGGCCTGCTCAGCAGCTGCTCTGAGGAGGCGGGCGTGCCGTGCTCCCGAAACTCCAGGGGGATGGACTACAACAGAGGAGGAAGCCCCTCAAAGTTCACTGCTGATCGGGCCCAACAGATAAACAGCAGATCGGCTGCAGGGGATGGGGGAGGTGAACAGTCCAAAAACATCATCAAAGAGGGAAAAACACTTAAGCTTGGGTGGTATTCAGGATACAGATCCAGTCCATAAAGGCTTTTATCCCCAAGGAGAAAAAAAAAAAAACTAAGTAATCCTTACTTTGCCTCACAGGCTGGTAGCAAAGACTTAGATTGCTATGCCCAGCAAAACACTTCTGCCCTCAGAGGAGTAGGACCCGAGAAAGAACAAAAGAAATGGGACAAAGAAAGGTGGATGCCAGGTCCCAGGGTTTCTAAAATGTTTCAAGAACCACTCAGAATATGTTTTGATCGGTGGCCGGCCTAACAAGTTAACATGGTGATCAATGATCTGACACAGAATTAAAGACAAAAAGGTTCTGGAGTCACAGAGTTAAGTGGCCAGGGAGTTTTTTACTATTTAATTGAGGGACAACTGTGATCATGAGTGATTACTAGACACAATGACGCTTTCAGTTCAGAGCTGTAAAGCGGGCTGGGTGATTACAGATGGACAGCACCACAGGCCATGATGCAGCCATGACTAATACACACGCTGCAGGGGAATTCAACGACTTAACTGGGAAACATGGCAGATCCTGCGGACATTCTGATGGACCCTGCAAGACTGGTTACTGAATACAAAGTCAACCCATACCTCTGGGTTACTTATTCGCCCAGGCCAGCACTGTATTCACGGCCTTTCCGGTCTCTCCTCACCTGAGGATATCACCGATGGTAATTTCCGGGATGAACTTCTGAAGGTGCTTCACTGTTTCACCAAGAAAACAGGCTTTATACATTTCACTAACTCCGTAGGAAAAATTCTGGAACACCAGTTTAAACAAGCCACTGAAAACAGAGAAAAATATCTTCATGAGAGGAATTAGGAATTACTTATTACTAAAAAAGCACTTTTACAATCATTCGATTTTTCAGTTTTGATGGCATCACAGACATTTGTCAAAGTCAGAAAAATTACTTAATAAAGAATATCAACTTTTGGCCAACGTAAGAAGAAAATTTCATCAAACCAAAAAGGAAACATCTTCCAAAGTCAAATTCCCAAGGAATGCTGGTTTCAAATTGGGATTCTATAAGGTCTACTAACATCTAGTCTTTTTTTTTTTTTTCCAAAGATTGATTTTTATTTATTTGCAAGGCAGAGTAACAGGAAGAAAGGGGGAGAGAGAAAAAGATCTTCCATACATTGATTTACCCCCCACAAATGACCACAATGGCTGGGGGTAGGGCTGAGCCAGGTCAAAGCCAGGAACCTCAAATTCTATCCTGATCTCCCGCATCATTGGCAGAGGCCCAAGTTCTTGGGCGATCTCCTGCTATTTTTCCTGGTGCATTCGCAGGTAGTTGGATTGGAAGTAGAACAGTGGGGGCTTGTAGTAGGATGCCAGTGTTGCAGGCAGGGGCCTGACCTGCCATTCCAGAATGCTGCCCCCACCATGGTCTTTCTTAATGCGAATATTACATGTTTTCAGCATATGTAAAAGACATTAACAGACCTTCACATCTCTGCAGAGTCTATGTATGCACGTATGAATGTAAAGAGGTATTTTTTACAGGCTCCACTCTAAACCCTCTGCTTTGGAATCTAGGAAGGGTGAAATATAAGCTAAGTATAGCTTTTAAAGGTTTCTAGTGACTTTGATATGGAACTCTCCAGAGATAAACAGCAGAAAAAAGACCAAACAAAATACCTCACTAGGTTATTTCTTACCATAGTGAAGATCCTACACTGGAGGTCAACACAATAGTACATACAAACGAAACAATCCCAAAGGAAACAATCTTGGTCACTGTCAAATTCTCTAATCTTTTACAAAATGACAGTGATTGGCTGGAAATAATCTTATCAAAGCAAGACACCTACTTTTAAAAGAAAATCTTTTGTTTGCAAATTTCATATTCTTTTTATTTTCCTTTCCTTAACAGAGAAGGTTAGCACTGTGGTCAAATTTGGATTGCCAGATGTATGAATGGCTTTTACATTCTTATTTTTTTCTTTTTAAAGATTTATTGATTTGAAAGGCAGAGACACAGAGAAAGAAGAAGAGAAAGAATCTTCCATCCGCTGGTTCACTCCCCAAATGGCCACAATGGCCAGGGCTGGGCATGCCAAAACCAGGAGCAAGGAGCTTCTGCTGGGTCTCCTATGTGGGTGCAGGGGCCCAGCACTTGGGCCATCTTTTGCTGCTTTCCCAGGCCATCAGCAGAGAGCTAGATCATAAGTGGAGCAGCCAGGACTTGAACTGGCACCCACTGGGGATGCTGGCACTGCAGGTGAAAGCTTAACCTTCTATGCCACAGTGCCAGCCCATATTTTCTTTTTTAATTTTACTGATTTATTTTTACTTATTTAGAAAGGAGAGAGGGACAGAGATTAGAGAGAGACAGAGACAGAGAGTGATATTCCATCATGGTTGACTCCCTAAATGCCTGCAACAGCTTGGGCTGAGCCAGGCTGAAGCTAGGAACCCAGAATTCAATACAGGTCTTCCACGTGGGAAGCATGGATCCATCATCTGCTGCCTTCCAAGGTGCGTCTTAGCAGGAAGTTGGAAGTGGAAGCAGAGATAGACTCAAACCAGACACTCTGATATGGGATGTGGCAATTTTGACCACTGCTCCAAACACCAAGCTACTTCATCTTCTTTTTCACCAAGATATCATGCTAGCTCCTCATAATTTTCTGGAGGTTAAAATGTTACATTTACTCCACAAAGACCTTCATTTGGATGAATAGGAAATTCAATATGCAAACAACAAACACGAAGATTTCCACAAGAAATAGACTATGAAGACAGATTTTCCACATTAGAAACATAAGTACGTAGATGATTTTTAAAGAGAATAAAGTTGTTACCTATTGATAATTATATCCATAACATCTCTGGCATTGAAATCAAAGGGTCTATAACCTTCCCGTTTAAAGGCAAGAATTGCATTAGGTCCTAGCCAAATGCTGCCGTCCATCCTTGGTGTGAAGTGGACTCCTAGGAAAGGAAACCGGCTATCTGGCACCTACGGATTTAATACAGCAAAGAACTGTTAGCCCTATTTAGCACACCATCTTACTACAGATGCAAACATTCAGCTGGTAACATAAAAACTGTCTTCCCATGTGTTTAATTTGCACTGTGAGCTGTGCTCACATATATATTACTATTTTTAAAAGATTTATTTATTTATTTGAAATGCAGAGTTACAGTGGGGCAGACGGGGAGAGAGAGAGAGAGAGAGAGAGAGAGAGAGGTAGGTCTTCCATCCGCTGGTTCAGCCGCCAGATGGCCGCAATGGCCAGAGCTGTGCCGATCTGGAGCCAGGAGCTTCCTCCGGGTCTCCCACATGGGTGCAGGGGCCCAAGGACTTGAGCCATCTTCTACTGCTTTCCCAGGCCATAGCAGAGAGCTGGATCAGAAGTGGAATAGCTGGGACTTGAACCAGTGCCTATATTGGATGCCAACACTGCGGGCAGCAGCTTTACCCATTAAACCACAGCACTGGCCCCCATATACATCACCATTAACCTGCTTTGAGTTAGAAATGCCAGCCAGGAAACACTGACGCTATTGGCACTGGAGCACTCTGTCCTACCTACTCATCTTGCTTGGTAACGAGAAAAGAGATGAACTGTGCTACTTCGGGTTATTTTCTCTCTCCCACATTGAGGATGGCTGTGACTGGCAAGCAAAAGCAAAGCTGCCAGGAAAAAAGAACGAAAAGAGAAAGCAAGAAAACACGCACATGCATAGCAGAGGCGTCTGCAAAGGGGAATGCATTCAATCCAGGCAGATGAATGTTTAGGCAAAGTCAAAAACATCAATTGGCTGAAGGCTGGCAACTTCATCTGGTTCAGCTAATGTATTTAAGGGGTTCATTAATTTTTAGGGTAGTTTCAGGCAGAAGAATAAACTGTTCCTGTAAAATGCCTCTGTCTTCTTCCTCCTGAAACCATGTGGCAGCCATGTCCCTGTTCTGCGCCTCTAGTGAACCGAGAAATATGGTGTCCAAGCCCAGTACTCTCGCAAGTGCACCCTAACCAGGGAGGAGGAGAATCCTGACGGCACTGCTCACGTCCACACGTACGCTCATGGATTCTGGAGATGCGTATTACTTGCAGGTAGCTCATTACACTTCAGCGACCCTGACATCAGAATACAGCGTTAGGGATCGACCTGCAGAGACGAGATGAAATGCCTGCACAAACAGACTTCTGAAATCTCCCTTCAGTTCAGGGGAAAATATTTTTCATTCCTTTTATGGCCACAACTCGAAAAGAGTGAGAAGACAGACGTATTACCTACCGGATAAATGTTCCCTTTTACAAGATAGCATTTTTCTGGCTTCAGCAGCAGATAATCTCCCCGGAATGGTACAATTCGAGGATCAGGATTGCAGCCACTTAACTCGGAAATGCGGTCTGAGTAAAGCCCCGCACATGTCACAACATACTGACTCCGAACTTCCTCTCCCTGGTGCAAAACAGAAGTGCAATTTGTAGAAAGCAGAGAGGAGCAGAATGCACCAAGAAGGGGGCAAGAGATGACAGGAAAGAAAATGAAGGTAGAGAAACAGGTTTCTCTTCTAAAAGAGGATATTCAACATGGGTATGTATCAGCAAAAAAATAGTTCTCCAGTATTTATAGTTTAGAGACAACAATGGCTGACCTTGGGCACTGTGGCACAGTGGGTTAAGCCACTGCTTGTATTGCCCATATGAACAATGGTTCCAGTTCTGGCTGCTCTGCTTCTAATCCAGCTCCCTGCTTTTGCGCCTGGGAGAGCAGCAGAGGATGGCTCAAGTCCTTGGGCCCCTGCCACCCATGTGGAAGACCTGGATGGAGTTCCAGGCTCCTGCCTTCTGCCTGGTCTAGCCCCAGCCAATGTGATCATTTCAGGAGTGAACCAGCAGATGAAGATAATCTCTCTCTCTCCCCCTTCCTTCCTCCCTCCCTCTCTGGATAACTCTGCCTTTCTAAATAAACAAATAAATCTTTTTAAAAAATAATGGTTGAGGGGCTGGTGCTGTGGCATAGCCACACCTGCAGTGCCAGCATCCCATGTGGGCTACGGTTTGAGTCCTGGCTGCTCCACTTCCAATTCAGCTCTCTGCTATGGCCTGGGAAAGCAGTGGAAAGCAGTGAAAGATGGCCCAAGTGCTTGGACCCCTGCACCCACGTGGGAAAAGACCCGGAAGAAGCTCCACACTCCTGGCTTCAGATTGGCCCAGCTCTGGCCACTGTGGCCATCTGGGTAGTGAACCAGGGGAAGACCTCTCTCTCTCTCTCTCTCTCTCTGCTTTTCAAATAAAAAAAATAAATCTTTTAAAAAAATGTTTGACCCTTGCAAGGATAATTAACAAACAACCCACGTGGGACAGGTATTTGGTGTAGCAGTTAAGACAACACTTAGAACACCAGCTTCCCTTATTGGAGTACCTAGGTTTGAGTCCCAGTTCCACTCTTGATTCCAGCTTCCTGCCAATGTGCACTCCGGGAGGCAGCAGGTGATGGCTCAGGTAGTTGAGTCCCTGCCATATGGGAGACCTGGATTGAGTTTCTGGCTTCCAGCTTCAGGAAGCCTGGCTAGCCTAGCTATTATAGACTTTTAGGAAGTGAACTAGTGGATGGAACTTCTCTATCTGTCTCTGTCTCTCTGCCTTTCAAATAAATAAGTAAACATGCTATGCTTGCATGCACACACAAACCTGTTTTACAGTAGAGAGCTTCATCATTTGTTGCATGAAGAAGCAAATGTCATTTAGATGGCCGCCACCAATTTGGCATCCTTTGTGCTTTGGACAGCATCTCCTGTCCTGAGTAATTACCCTATTACTCTTGAGTTATTTCACACTAGTCAATCCTGCTCAGTACCAACTGCAACCAGGCCCCCAAGCTATCTTTTATTTCTGATCAATATTTACTTTGCAAGCTGAGGTTACTTTAGCAGCTTCATCCATTCAATTCGCACCTAATAAGAGCACACACTACTGTCAGGGTTTGTTTTAGTGGTCAGGAGACTATTAATCTTAGGCCATTGTAATTTCCCACACATTTTTTTTTTTAAAGTTGAATAACCTAGTCAAGTTTATTATTATCCTGATTTAAAAAAAAAAAATTCACAAATAGAATGTGACTTTCCAAAGAAATCTATCCAATGTCTGTGATCACAACTAGATTTTATCCTAATCGATAAAAAATGGTTAGACAAGCACGTAGTATCAAGAGTCTTCAACACAGTGGATTCCATTTTGTTAAGAACAAAAAAATAGAAAATAAGTAGTATTTAGTTTTCTTAGCTCTCCATAGTATATGTTATATAAAATTAAAGTTTTGCTTCCAAAAATATGTTTCCATGTGGTTGGGTGGTGTCCAGGGCCAGAAACACCAAAGACAGGAGATGTTTAACCACAGAAGTGTCATTTTTCATAAAAACTAAAAAATATCCTTCAAGGTCTAAAGTCTTCTGCTAGGCATTTTAGTGCTACAAAGTCATTTTTAAATTAAATGTGGAATAAAAGCTACAAAAAGTATCCCTCACATTTCTATGGCTATTAAGGGCACATTTTTAGCTTCACTCTACCAGGTTTAGATAATTTCATCACTATTCACCACCATAATTTAATTCCCATCTCTCTACTTATAAACAACCAATAATTCCTTGTTCCTGGTAACTTCTTGTTCTTAGATTGTTTACTTCCTTTTTTAAAGATTTCTTTCTTTATTTGAAAGGCAGAGTTATGAAGAGGAAGAGGGATGGGGAGAGAAAGAGAGAGATCTTCTACCCACTGGTTTACTCCCTAAATGGCTGCAATGGCTGGGACTGGGTCAGGTCAAAGTTAGGATCCAGGAGCTGCATTCAGGTCTCCCACAAGGGTACAAAGGCTCAAGCACTTGGGCCATCCTCTGTTGTTTTCCCAGGCCATTAGCAGGGAACTAGATCAGAAGTGGAGCAGTCAGGACTTGAACCAGCACCCATGTGGGATGCTGGAGATGCAGGTGGTAGCTTAAGACACTGTGCCACAATGCCGGCCACCGGATTGTCTTTTTTTTTTTTTTTTTTTTAAGATTTAATTTATTTATTTGACAGGTAGAGTTACAGTGAGAGAGAGACAGAGAGAAAGGTCTTCCCTCTGTTGGTTCACTCCCCAAATGGCTGCAATGGCCGGAGCTGCACCAATCCGATCCAGAAGCCAGGTGCCTCTTCCCGTTCTCCCATGTGGGTACAGGGGCCCAAGCACTTGGGCCATCTTCTACTGCTATCCCAGGCCACAGCAGAGAGCTGGACTGGAAAAGGAGCAACTGGGACTAGAACCAGCGCCCATATGGGATGCTGGCGTTGCAGGTGGAGGATTAACCTAGTGCGCCACAGCGCTGGTCCCCCGATTATCTTCTAAGCCAACCTATTTCTGAAGCCTTGGAATTCTCACCTCACCACAACACTCTCTTTCCAGCCCTCACTGATTCAGCCTTGTTCTGCTGTGCTGTATTTTCAACTCTAAATGCATTTGATTTTTGCTCTTGCCAGAAAGTGAAGCTCCTTTTCAGGGGTTACTACAAGTCGCATTTTTCAGAAAACCAGATGAAACTTCTTTACAGTGAATTAAAATGAAAATTAGCTAGACTAAGCCATATAGTTTTAAGACCCTTTAAATCAAAAGGGCTGTGTCAGCAACAACAAACACTGCCCTGTTCTAATATCGTTCTAGTGCATCCAGAGTTTTATACTAAAAGCACAAGACATATTTTTATGTGATTTAAATGCACTGTTCCTACTTAAAAGGTCAGTAGTCCTTTTTGTTCTCAGAACACAAGATGTGGTAGAAAGGCCTACCATAAATGTAAAGATATGAGCTGAATTTGCAGAGCGGCACTAGCATGCAATAGCCTAATTACTCTCTTTTTTAAAAGTTTTCAAGAAAGAAATTAAAACCAGCACAAGTGTCTGAAATGATTTTGTGTCATACATAAAACAATAATTAAATCCAGCAACATATGAATTTCACTTTCAAATGGAAAGTTAGATAAACATTGAATAATCAATCATAAATTTATTTATCTGAAAGGCAGAGAACAAAGAGAGAGAAAGAGAGAGAGAGAGAGAGAGAGAGAGAGAGACATACAGATCTCATATCTGCTGGTTTACTCCCCAAATGCCCGCAACAGCTGAGGTTGGACTAAGATGAAGCCAGGAGCTGAGAACTCAACCTGTGTCTCCCGTGTTGGTGGCAGGGACTCAACTACTTTGAGGCATCACCTACTGCCTTCCAGGGTATGTTTTCACAGGAAGCTGGAATTGGGAGCAGAGTCAGGACTCAAATCCAGATATTCTGACACGGGATGCAGGAGCTCCAAGCAGTGTTTCAACTGATAGGACAAACACCATCCCTAATCCTAAATTTCTTCTTAAACAGTGCATCTCTTTTGTTCTTTAATGAGTGAAAAAGATGTTTTTCCCATATTCAATGTACAAATGTGCAACTTCTCCCCTAAAAGTTAATTTTTAAAAATTCCTTTCTTTCCATTCATATAAAAGCACAGATGGTCAACTTGGTAAGTGAACCCAAAATTCTGAATTTGAACCCCAAAATTATACTATAAAGAAAATAACAAAATTGTCTAAACAAAATGACAAAAGCATAAACAACTACAATAACTGGGCGAAATAAATATCCACTGGTATCTCACTGGTCCTGTTATACATTCCATCACATGACATAGCATACTCTAGTGAAAATGTCCTGCACATGGGGGCAGGCACAAAAACAGCCTGCTATTCTTTCTTTGAATTGAAACTCTGGTTGCTCTGCCACTTAGATCACATGACCCAGCAGGTCTGATGACAACTGAAGTGTCTGTGGCAGGTGGCAAAGTCTCCAGGGCTGCTGGCAGGCTTCTACAGGTCAATCACAGCACAGAACTTGAAAGTGTCGGAGGAAACGTGAAACCAGCCTCAGCAGCATCTTCCTTTTGAGAAAGTGATTCTGTTTCTGAACGCACATCTGACCGCAGATCACCAAGCCACCATTTGAATGACCCATTATATTAACTTGGTCACTGTCTGACTCATCAAACCACAAAACTGGGTAAGTACAGCAATATTCTGTCATCAGGAAGAAGGACAAATATATTAGGGTTATACAGGTCCTCTGCAGGCACAACACTGCAGGGGCAAGTGGTTCAAATTCCTATAAGCCCTACTCCCGCTAAATTGCCTCTTTCTCCTGTACCTGATTCTGGCCCTATGACCAGTTGACCAAGGAAGACAAAATATAGGGCCAGTCTGCCTTTGGGTCTACACAACATTCGCAAAGCACTTTGACAGTGTAAGGCTGTGGCACTGGAGCCCTACTTTGGAGCGGCCCTGAAAAAGTGTGGTGAAGCGCAATCTCTGCAGTGGGCAGAACTTTGAACATAACACCCGGTTATCTATCTTCCCTAGAAGTAGAGAGGACCAGAGTATGGATCTACAC